AATTTAAATTTGGAAAATGGACCCTACTCCCGAAAGTAAGTAGAATCGATATCTACATTTAAAAAATCACAATTTAAACGTAAATTGTAATCGTAAAAGATGGCTCTTCTTAAATAATTTTTTATTTCAATCGTCATGTTATTTTTGCAGTATAAAAATATTTAACATATTTCTATTTTGCAAATTTGACCCCTGTTTCAAGTATGAATGTATTAGAAAAAACTATGTCCTATATTTTGTGATCTTTCCTTTTTAAAATTTATGTTTTGCAATTCGTGGACACTCTACAATTGCGGTCAGGCCAGGTCTACCAGGACCCAGGTATACATATATTATATTTTACATATTTTTTTCCAATTGTTCATACCTGAACGGTGGCCCGAATTTCAAAAAGGAAGATATTTTTAATACTTCACTGCAAAAACATCACGAATAAAACCAAAAGTAAGTTAAGAAGTGCCATCTTTTACGATTACAATTTAAAAAACCTATTAATCCATCCAGTTTCACATACTCGTCCGCAATATTCGATCAGCCATTTTATTTTCTAAAGCTTTTATCGCAGATTCATAATTAATCACCTAAAAAAACCTCAGTACAACGTTTCTGAAAACCACAGAAAATCTTCGTATTTTGACGAAATTCTCGCGATTTTCAAGCACAGCGCCCTGGGGGCGAACGGTTTGCATCGAATATCGTTGCCCTGAATTCAGCTCCTCGAGCCGGACCGAAGATGAGGTATCAAGTGGAAGACAGAGGGGTAATGACCGGCGCGCAGAAGTAAAACTTGCCCGAGGGGTTGCGGTGTCCGGCACAGGGATGAATTAATACAACGTTCGCGTGGGAATTTGCTGCGGCGTCGGTTTCCGGCTTATACCATCGGTAGTCAAATATCGGTTGATCGTATCCCGCCTGTGCCGGGGTCCGCTTTACGATTCGGTCAATCGTAAACCCTGATAGCCAGTCGTATCAAGGGTCCAGGGACGGTAACTGGGACCTGCTGCGCATGGAAACCATTTCCAGGCTCGAGCCGCAAAACCACGGGAACATTTCACAGAAATCATCCCCACCCGCCACTTTGTGAATATTATATCGCAGCTCTGTGATTGAATCAACGCTCGGAGAAACTCGATTCGATTCGGTTCGAAACGATTGTGCAAGGACGACTTCGTCGTCAAGGCGCGAGACTCGCGGCTGTCGCCCGACGAATTACGGGGAAAACGAATTCTTCTTTTATGCATGCCTTTACTCGGTTTACCGTTCAATCGGGGGGGGGGGGTCCGCGTTTCTCCGATTTCTTGGCCCGTTAAATTGCCGTCGGGCTTAAATTATCGATAGACTCCGCGTCGTTCCTCGCGAAAGTCGAAGAGCCCGTTGAACTGGGCTGTGCTACACACGAATTTATTTAACCCTGAGGGACTTGATTATTGTCGTCGGTCGAATGGTGTTGGGACGTTTGGACAATCGGGATTACGATGTGGATGATTGGAAGGTGTTATTGTTGAGAAAATGTAATGGCAGATTGTCTTCAATTATTTCTAAACCAATTTGGGGATCAAGTACCCTAGAAGTCGATCATTGCGGTACAGTTTGGCGAACACGTAGGCTTCTAGTGTTCTGACTACCGTACTCAATAGCGAGGTATATTAATCCTTTGACTGCGAAAAGAGAAATATATCTGCGATCGTATGAGAAATATTTTTTGTGTAATTTAAATGATTTCAAGAGACGAATCGGATGGCGGCGAAAATTTTGTATGTCATTTTTAAATAGTCGAATGATCATTTATGGAGCATAACACCTTTAGGTTTCTTAAAATTTAGAGATCACAAGGTATATGAAAAAATGTTAGAACGAAGCCATAGTGGAGAAGCATCAACGTCACAGAAGTTTTAAACGGTGTTTCTTTCTTGTGCCCCGGAAGACAGTGCATGCAAACTAGCCCGTCTCGCGGGATCGGGAAACAAAACTGTCGGTCATTGAATAATTTACGGAGTAAATGAAACGCAAATCCGGTCGCGGGGCTCGTAACGGTTACGGCATTAGCACACAAATTAAATGGGACAACCTATCCGCCTCGTAATATCTTTTGCACTATCAGTCGAGATACCTGCGAGGGCAACTTGGATTTTTTTTTAGGGATCACAGGTCAATGGTACTCCGCTACTTCCGGCGTTTTCGAAAACTACGGTCTTCCGGCATTGATTTCACGTATAGCCACGAAAATTCCTGAAAGCAGAGTATTCCATTAATTATAGAATTGGAAATTTTGAAGTAGGTATTTTTACTACATCTCTGATTTAATTTATTACTTACAGTCTGCTGTGAGAAAAAATTAATTAGTTACACATGTTTTTACTTTTTCAATATATATTTAATTATTTACTGTCGAATTGTTTTAAACGATAAATGCCCATCGAATTCAACTATTTTTACATAAATCACAGCTAGTTTATGTTACAATTCGAATATAAATTAATAATGTACTATACGAGAGAAACATATTATTCTGTATACATAAGTACCTGTAAATTTCTCATAAACTTGATTTCCTTCATGAGCTTCGGAAAAAATTTAATGTTTTCTTGCCAGGAATCGATTTCTTGAAGCAAACCACTGCGCTTGTAGTATGTAGGTACCATTTGCATGTAATGAAACATTCACTGCTCAGATCAGAGAAAATTTCATTAAATTCACTCAATAATAAATACAACACAATTGTTAAAACAATATATTTGAAAACTCACTGAGGTTAAAGATAAAGTGGAATTATAATATTTTTGTCGTTCACTAATCAACGAACTGTTGTCAATACAAATGGCTACCGTATAACAACGCTAAATCGTAATGGGTCACATTTAATGACCCAATAATTATCACACACCATCGACACGATAAATAATCGAGCATCGCAGAAAAACAAGTTCGTTCAGCGAGAAAGCTTCACTCGTTCTTGATTCCCGTCAGCGAAACATTCTTGTATGTCCAAACGCGAAATTACGGGGAATGAAAGGATTACTCTGCTCTGAAGGCACTTAGGAAGCATTTCACACGAGGTCGTTATACTCGTTTAACAACGTTAAACCGGCTTGATTTCCGGGAAGCATACAGAAATTTTTAATCCACCTGAAACACCTTTAAATTCATAACGTTCGCACAGTTACGGTCCGCGTGAACGCATGAGAGCGAAGCATAGAACGCTCGCAACCATTGTCCGGGATTATCGAATTACCATACACTTTTCCTTGGCGTTTCCGTGTCCTCGTGCCAAGAGAACGTTTTTTTTTTTATTTTCTCGTCGTTGTACGCGCCCCCGCAGCAGGTACATACATGGAAACGGGACTTTATGAACACTGTGGCCAGCACGCGTCCGCTGGGAACGCGTTTTTTTCCACCGAAACGAAATTGAATGGATGCAATTTATGGCGCGTGGAATTGTGCATCGTTATCTCAGGCCGGTCGAGATGCGCGCACTTGCGAATCCGCCTTTACGATCGGCCACCGAGTGTTGGATAACACCTTGCACTACTTGCCTCGAAATCCAATTTAGAGAAAATTCTTCGATACCGTGAATTGAACGGTGTTTCTTTAAGTTTTTCTTCTGATTTCCGGAAACTACCCTATTTCTATACCGCGAATCCACTTCGAACCCTCGTGAACCGTTCAGGAACACCATAAATTAAATTCAACCTGGGAAATTTGTTCAGATAGGCTATCTGTCGATCTGAAATTAGACAAATTTCTGTAGTCTAATTTCAATCAAATTTCATAAGAAACTTTTGAATTGAAAGTATAATTAAGATGCAAACTGTGCTTTCAGTGCAATTTGAACGGCCCACAAGGTTTAAACCGTCTGCTGTGCACACACGATGCTCAAACGCGTTACCCTGTTACACATATTTCACATGCCGTGTTATCTTCGAGTAGCTTATCAAAATCAATTATAATGACTGCGTTAACTAACATTAATATACTATTTAAAAGAAGGATACTGATAATTTCCCGCGGGGTTCAATTCTTTGGGATCCTAGTTACTTTTGCGACTCCGTTTCGCTACTACAGACAGTAATGTGCAGTTCGTTTGATTGTTTCAACACGTATTATACAACTAAACTTATTAGTATATTAAATAACTGGTTCACAATCCAGGCTTGATACAGTTATCATTGTCCAGGCTTTCACGAAATGTTGTAAATTCCAATGTAAAGAACTTCCTGTCCCGTCCTCGAGGTTATTGTTACCAGTATCCAGGAATTAGCTTTTGTCACAGAATAAAATGGCGCCAGTTTTGTCCTTAACGTACATACAAAGCTGTCCAGAAATGAAACACAGCAATTTAGAGCCTAGTTGGCCTCGAAATAACAATTCGCGACGCGACACAATCCTTTTAAATATTACACACCATTCGGCAGGAATACTAAAACGCGTTATTCCTGGTATAGTCTACAGGTCAGCCGTTATCGTTATAATTATTATCGTCGCCACTGTCACCATTTGGTCTGGCCTGGTTCGATCGAAAATATCCGCAAACAGTTCCGAAAAACACACGAGGGGTCAGGAGTTCCATTGTAGTCGCGCCTAGAACGGCCGCTAACGCTGGGGGTATCGCTCGTTTCCCCGGAGTTTTTTTTTCCATTCCTCCTTTTATCGAAAAAACGGCAACATCGTTTCGACGGGTCGGGTGATATCAATGGTCGGGATTGCGTTTGCAATCTGCGTAAATCGAAACAGAGATTTCACGTTGTCGAACGTATTTCACGACGGAATATGTAAATTTGCACATTCCGCGGGCGCATGCAACGGCGAAATCACCGTGTCAGAAAAAACAAATATACGATTTTCAAATGACCACCTGGATCGAACCGTGTACGCGTACGTGGATGGCGAAATAGAACTACGCTGAGGAAAATAGAAATATTCGACGCACGGGTAATGGAAATGTTAGATATTTCTTTAAAAATATCAGTTTTTATTCGTTTTATAGATACTTTCCAGCCATATATAATATATATATAATTTATTCATACGAACAAGTTCTCGCGATATCATCAATATCTGTACAAAGGGAATAGATTTTCTCCGCAGTACAAAAATACCGTTTACCATACAGACACACCTGGTCGCCGCGAAGACAGCGGGGGGGGGTTATGATCGCGCGATGGAAACGAACAAAATTTTAAAAACAAAAATACAAAACGCTCCTGGCGATTAATCTGTCAGCGATAAAAAAAAAAAGGAAACAAGCTTCTAAATCGTTCTCGACGAATCACGCCCGACGAGGAGACCAAGGAAACAGAAGACACGCTCGTCTGCGCTAGCAGAAACTCCCATAACTCTTTCTTTTTCCTCTTTCTTAACGATGATAAAATACGCAACGAATCGTCGTTCGTTGACGCGCTAACACGAGAATATATATATTTATATATACTCAACTGTTTTCCCGTCTCTTTAATTCCATAGTCTCTCTAACAATCTCGTGGCATAGGTACATGAAAGCTAGGTACACACAGAGAAACGCGTGTCGCGCATTCGCGAAGCTGATCGCCGCGCATGTTCCAACGACGTACTATACAAACAAAAAAGTATTTCAACTCAACGGACCACAAACAACATGGGACCACGAACAATTTTTTTTTCTTCCTTCGAAAAGAAAACAGTATATATATATAAAAAACAATACACGCGTATATATATATATATAATATAACGGGGAGGGACGAGAAACAACAACGCCAAATCGGTTTCTCTCTCGAAACAGGGGAGCAATGAAGGTGATTAAAGAACGTAAACAACAGCTTAGCCTAGGCTAGTGTACAAACAAAATCGAATCATCGAACGGGGGATAAAAACGATCTTTTTTCGGTTCTTATTCTCCTCTTTCTCGTTGTCCCGACGGATCGACCGTCGGTGAAAACCGCGAGACAATACTCGAACACAGTTTGAGGAGAATCCGAAACAGAGGTCTGGCCTCTTGATGATTTTTCCGTCAGGCAACGAAGCTATCGGGAATAGGCTCGCGACTAACAAAATATGTACGTAAATATGTACGGCAGAAGAGTGGAAAAAAGAATGACAAGTGACAACAGGGAGAGCTCGATGTTCGTGACTCGTAGTTTCTCGTCGGGGTTAGTTGACCGCGTTCTCCCGCTTCAGGGAGCCGATCTCCTCCAGCATCGCTGGTAGCCCTTCGGGAACTCGTCCGGCGTCCAATTCCTGTCCCCACAGTCGATACTGAAAGAAAAATAACGGATGCCGGTTAGACGAGCTTCCAGAGTGGCGCGCACGCGATCGAACGTTGTTTGTTATACCGGAAACGGTTCTTCAGGAGTCCGTGGCTCTGGGAAGGAGAGGTTCGGATCGAGGGCTTGTCTGGGAAAAGGGTCTTCGGGTCTTCTTTTCGGTCCTCGAGCGACACACGATTTTTAGTAAAGTGAATTTCGAAAATGTTGAAGGTGTCCCAGAATTCACCGATAATTTCATTTCCTTCGAAGGTACACTTCTTTCATCACGGTGTCCAGTTTTGGACTGAACGGTGGTAAAAAATTATGGATAATTGCGCGGACTGTATTTTGATTAAAAAATATTAGAACATTTTGAAGATAGTGGTAACTAGAGTTAGTATAAAAACAATCGAAAGTTTTGCACACTACTGTCATTATGAATGTAGTAAAGTCTCCAAAGATGGAAAAATGTATTATCTCCATCTCTCTGATGGAGTTAATCAATTCGGCCTGTGAACGACCCCAATCTTATTCATAAAAATGTAACGAAATATGCTAAGCAATAAAAAGGGCATATCGTACGCAACGACCTAATATTATTACGAGAGGGTATAACTAATTATAAACTGAAATATAACTGGTTGTTAAGTTAAAATATAACTAATTGTAAATTGAAATATAACTAAAACGTAAACTCGTTATACCGAAATCGGTTTGTCAGAAACAGGTGCAAGGGAAACAAGTTCAGGTGGTGTGTTGGTCTGGGAGAACATTCTGGTCGCCTTTTCGGTCCTTGAACGACAGAGGAACGCGAACGACAAACACCCGGGAACGTTTTTCGCTGGAACTGGAGAGCAGTGGGCGGCGATAAAGAGTTCAAAGCGGGCGTATTATTTTAAATTTTATTTGTTACGTCAGATCGTCCATGGACACACACGTTTCAAGTGTTTGCCCGGATTGATTTTTTAATGCTCGCCGTCCGCGGGAGATCGAACGCAAACAGACGGGAACTGCGGCGGTCGCGTTTATACAATTCTGCAGGGTGCCGTGTAATTTGTGGCAGAGCCGAAAAAGTTGATTCCTCGAATGAAAATAAATAGAACGTGTGGAGTGAGATTTTTCCGTGTGGGCTTTCGATTTTGGGAAAACTGATTTAGAAAATTCGAACGACCGTGTACACTGACTTTGCACGACTATTGTTGACTACTTCTACTTGCGTTGACGTGTTGTTAGTAGACTACAATTTTATGGAAATTTCTAATTTTATGCTCTATGTTACAGAGAGCAGTATGAAAACAATTTATGTCAACGCTTAAGAATTTTATTGAATTAAACGTGAATAGAAAACTTGGTTAATACTTACTAAACTTTTTATTTTTGCTATTATTTTCTTCAATCGGTGCATACAAATTGGTATAAAAAAAAAACATAGTAACTGTATATATCAGATAAAATTAAACAACTAAACCGTAATAATTCTTTGAAAATCAATTTCGTTAGAATTTTCTATATTAGTTAACGAAGGCTATGGATTTTATTAAGGTTATTAATATTAATTCATACTCTTCGTTCATTAATACAGAAAACGATAAAGAAATTAACTTTCGACAAATTATTAAGGTCAAGTTCTTGTAGTTTAGTCCATTACTGTATCACCCATAGCGTTTATTGGAAGTAGAATTAGTAGGCAGTGGTCAGACACGTTAAGCGATCGTATCATGAACCACGCGTGTTAAGATAAGTCTCGAACTGTATTTTCTCGAAAATCAAACTCACTTCGATGATTATATTATGCAAATGATAAATAATTGTTAGATAGCTGAACACTCAAAAACTAAAGGATTTCTGCTGACGATTTCTTTGGTCTGTATTGTTTGCATTTAAAATTGAAAGATCAACTGACTCTGTACATCTTATTTCCCCTAAAATTAAAGAATAAGAGAAGATAAAAGAATTGAACGAAATAGCATTTTACCGTTAAATTTAAATCAGTAAAACAAAAATTCAAAATTCCCCGTTAAAACTAAACCGAAACACAAGCTTTGACACTGAATTCGTGCTAAACGTACGAAAACTTTTATAAGCTTTGCCCAAAAAAGATAGATAAACAAGTAATCTCATTTAAAGCTTTTCACAATGGTGACAAATCCTTCGCGCCAACCTAATAGAGCCATAACATTCAAAACTTCGCTGCAAAATTTGCAGCCGCAACAAAAGCAACGCGATACAATCGTAACCAGAAGGGTGGAAGAGGGACATTGGAAACGAAAGTTACACGATTTTCCACTACATTCATGGCGCTCTCGCGCGTCTTCCATCGCGTTGTGGGTGCCAGAACTAATTCCGGAAACTTCGAGTCGCGCGTTACTCTGTCGGGGAACGAAGAAGAAAAAAAAAGCACGTGAAACGGCGGTTGGTTTACGATTCTCCGGAAAAACTTCGCGTCCTCCCCCCCCACTCTGTACAGTCTTCAAGTTCTCCTACCTCACGTTCCCCACTCCGTTCGGAATTTACGATATTAACGCAGGGAGAATAGCAGACGGGACACTACGAATCCGGCGAATTGTAATTCTCTTCTGAACGTAAGAGAAAGACGACGGTATGGTTATTTAATCTTGAACACGTACGACTCCGAAAACACTGCTGATCGTGAAAGAGCTCCGCGGGATAATAGGCTAATAACTCATTGGTTTACACGTGGAATTTATTATCTTGGAGTGATTCACTCCATAAAAATATACATCGTGTAACTAGTGGTTCTACGTGAAACATAAGTCGAAAATATAGAGTAACATCTTTTTATTTCAGACTTCATTTTCGAGGAGATCGAATTTGACAATCTGCTGGATACGCCTGGAACTGAATAGAACTCACAGCTAAGGTGTCTGTACATTGCATTTCATCTTTACTTACGACCATGAATACACGCGTTTCAGATTAATTTTCAAAGTCGATTTTTTTTTAAAACGAAGTCTTAAATGGAAAAATGTTGTTCTATATTTTTAACTTATTTCTTTGATGTGGATCATGCCCTAAACGGTTGTACTACCAGTTATATGACACTTCACTTCTTTTCTTTCATGAAGTTTCAGCACCAATCGAGAGCTTTGGCAGTGAAATTTGAAAAATTCCAAAAGTGGAGTTAGTCACTTTGGTCTCTCAGAACGGCTTATTATCGGTCATAGTAAATATTCTCGGCTTAACCTATTCACGCATGGCGTGATAGTAATATTCCAAAAGTACAAGATAAGGTACAGTTTATCTGTTCAATTTTGTTATGAAATTGTTGTTTGTTCTCGTTAAATCACGGTTATTTCATCGCCAAACCAGCAATCTCAACGAGGCTCCTAATTAATTTGACGAAACCAACATCCCCGTATTAATGTCGCGGTCAAGGGTAAATGGGGTTTACGACCGAAATTCGAATCCAGAATTACAACCACATCGTCGATTTTCTCGCAATTAAATATACGCCACTTTCCAAATAAATATCTGGTACGACGGTGGAAAAAATGACAGGGAAACGGAATCGTCGGGAGGAAAACTAGACAAAAGGGAACAGGAAATTTTCGATTACGAGACTCACCATCTCCAGCTCCTTCCGAAGAGCGATAACAGCCTTTTCACGGTCGGCCACCAGCTCTTCCAGGTATTGATACCTCAGCTTCTTCCGAGCACGACACTCCCTCGCACTCTGCCGACTTCGTTCTGCAAAAATAAACGGAAAAGCGCGAGCGCGTGAAAGCCTGCTCTCCAAGTACCATTAAGCCCCGTGCACACGTTTGCTCGTATATGTATATACACCGCTGGCCCAGGGCCTAGAATTTCTGTGCTCGTGATACCTGCGTATCGCACAAAAGTGTACAACTGTACTTGAATTCTCAATCGTCGGATTTTCTATTAAGACCTTTACGCACTTGACGGTTACGCCACTTCTCGATTGAAATTAAGTACTTGATGTATAACACGTGAATTCCCGTAACGAAAGAGTACGTACAAGCATGAACTGTTTGAATAAGAAGAATGTCGAGGTTTCGATGAAAATGTTGTTTTACGCAGTCGATGGTACACATACCACTCGTAAGTATTTGCCCTTCAATCGAAGAAAATGATCACTTGTTTTCAGCCAACAGTTGACTTTGCAAATTGGAAATAAATAATCGCGAATTTTACTTTTTACAGTACTTGCTGTGAACGAAATTAAAGAGGGGGTGAGAAGAGTTGATATGCAAAATTTGTCGCCCCGGGGCATCGAAATGAACATTATGGGATGGAAGGAAAGAATATGTAATAGCTTCTGAGATGGTAAGTAGATCACTACTTGCAGATCAACACGGATCTTTAGTACTTACAAAAAGTATCGTAAATTTCTTAATAAAATGAATTTAATATGGATTGGAACATACTTACAAGCGGTTGTGTATGCTACTTATAATTTCAATTATGTACTCGGTGTCGCTGATGAATGTATACAATGTGATACGTGCGTGTACGAATTATGTGAATAATAATTTCGTCGGACTTTCTAAGTCCCGTGTTTGCGGATGATACAATACGAACAGTTTGTGAATTGTATCATTAATTCTAACACAACGGGTGAGTGTGTTTAATGATATGTGTATAGAGGGAGTTCTTAGGGAAGGTGACCACCTAAATTTTTTCCGCTACTTTCGCGGTCGGCCACCAGCTCTTCTAGATACTGATACCTCAGCTTCTTCCTACCGCGAACTTCCCTCGCGCTCTGCCGACACCGTTCTGGAAAAATAAAGGGACATGCACGAGCGCGTTTAAGAACGATATAAGAATATAATTAAAGGAATAGTCGCACGGTTCACGTGGTCCGTGCTGAAAGTCAATTTTTCAAACGTTTCACTTACACGCATACACAAAGTCCGTTGAGGAACACTTACGCTTTTTATGTCGAACAAATTTGGTGTACCAATAAGTAATTCACTATAGTTCCAATATGACGGTAATACATTTTCGATTCAGAATATCTTTCGAATATTCTGTTTAGTAAAAATACCAGAGGATGATGGGAACAAATAACGAATGTACAGACTAGTCCCGATTATTGTCCCAAACCTGGGTCCGCGCCGGGACAATAATCGCATAGGACGAAATGCTTCAGACCCTCGTAAATTCGTTTTTTGCCCGAAGCCCGAGGGGTAACAACGTATGCACTTGACAGGTTCCACCCCCTCCCCAGTATTGGGGACAATAATCGTGTTGAACAAGCCAGACGATAATCGAAAGGTGTCTGTACCTGAATTATTTTCAAAGGAATAAACTTTCTACACAAATAGTGAACAAATTACTGGTACACCTAATAAAATGTCGTTTAAAACTCTTTAAAAAAATTACAAGAGTTGTATTACGATGCTCAAACCTGCGTACACCACTGTACACTTTGTCAAGCGCGGAACAGGCTTAAGTGTAGCGAAGACGCCCATAGAAAGATGTAAGAGAAACCAAACAAGAGATCACACCACGCTGCCTCGGTAAACTTTTCACGCAAAATCGAGTCGCCTACGGACGAGAGAGGCGATAACGTCGACTTAATAATTCAAAAACAGATCTCTCGCTCGAAGTCTGGCGACCGGAAGATAAGCAAAACGGGATTCTAATAAAGCCGGAGGGTATTTTTCGATGCGATGTTTTCTTGAGCGATATATCGCACGAACCGGTCGTCCCATATGAAACCCAAATATCGCGTCAAAGTACGCGACGCAAGAAGTATGATCGCGGTATAATACCGCGGCTGTAAAAATTCCGGGTTTAATGATACCCAAAGACCTGGTTAATCCACGTTTGGTACGTCACTGGTACCCTCGACCGAGGGCTGACGGTATTTTTAAGGTTATTTTTTAGAAGTTTACGGTATTTTTCTTTGCAGAGTGTATTATAAAGTCATAGGAATTGCAAATGTAGACTTAACGGAGAAGATGTATACGAGGCCCTTGTTGGATGTAGACTACAAACGAGCGCAGCAATGTTGCTACGCATAAAATTGGACTTCATTCCGTTCGAGTTCATTTCAGAACCGACTTTGTAAGCGTGTTTTATCTTCGAAATGGTGCAGAAATTGTTCGACTTTAAAGTAGAAGAGTATATAGGAAATAGAAAATTATTATACTTCGTACATTCTGTGTTCAACTCAATGTAGGAAAAGTGACCTTGAACAGGTAAAAAATCTCTTCTTTCCACTACAGCACATACAAACATAAATCGTAGTTCAATCGTCATTAAGAACGTCGATCCCTTCGTCAAATCCACGTTTTCATTTTCAATCCGCCGATTAATCAACCGATTCATTACCCACAATTACGCGACTCGACCACCGGCAAAAAAACAAACTGGTAACATTTCGCGACAAGAAAAACGAGGCTCGGTAAATATTCCCCGAGCCCATCCACCGGAACAACCCATAAATTCCGACGCGAAAATTACAAGCGAAAGGGAATGCCGCCGGTCCACATTGGACGTAACCATCGAACGATAAATTCCCGTAACTCAAAATGTGACGCGCGATTTTTCACGGCCGGTGGCGACCACGTGCGCTCGCGGCCGGCGTCGCGTCGGGCCTGATGAATAGGAACAAATGTCACAACGCGTCGAAACGTTTTCGTGTCGGCTGGCCCGCGAAGAAGACGACGTTGGACGGATAAAATTAACACCCGATATTCTCCGATAGCCAGGTCACCGACGACTGGTCGCCAAGTTCGGCAAAAGTTACTTCGAATAACAGATAAAAAGTTGACGAATAATATTGATTTATTCGTTATTCGAAATTTTCGAATAAAAAAGACGAATAAATTCTTTTTTCAATGAAATTTTACTATATTTATTCTCATTTATTTATAATTTATTTTAAGTGCAGAAAATTTCTAGTTAATTCAAATGACCCTTTAACGTGCCAATAAACGTTCCCCTCTCGTCACAGATTTTCTTTCCTGAAAACTGCCCTGAAAGAAGATTTTCGACAGTCCGCGAGATATCCCCGAGGCGGATACGAACCGGATACACCGGTATCGGGAAAGGATTCGTCGCGATGAACGAAAGCCACCCCTTGCGGAGGAATCGATTCCGCCTCGACGCGGAAATTAACCTCTTAGCCGCGACACGACTGATCCGGAAGCTATACGCTCTGTACGGGAGGAAAAACCATCGCGAGTACGCTTGCTGTATGAGTTTAACAGGTTATCGACAGGTTCTTGGCGATGATTACGTACGGATAAGAAGGGATGTTAAAAGTTTCTGTTGCAGGCGATAAGATATCGCAGTATTCGAAATATAATAGCACCAAAATGGCTATTTCGCATCTTATAGAATAGACAACCGTCTGAAACCGTGTTTACAGTTGCAATGGTATCGCAGCTTAAGCTTCGATTTTGATGAATATTTGTGGAAAGGTAGTTTTATTGCTGAGGGTACCATACGCACTTAAAAAATGTGTTTGTCGCATATGGTTGACACGTAACAATAATTAAAGAGGTTCAATCATCGAATAATGTTAATTCTGTATTCTTGATGACTACTACAAAACGCGTAAGAATTTTCATTATTTGCAAACGTATACTGGTTGCGATTACTGTCACTATGTACCTTCGTATTTTCGTCGATCGTTATCGATTATCCCTATGGGCACTTTGAAAATTTACTGTGTCGTCCGTCTATACGATATTCGTGAACAATTTGTTTCTTATTATTTATTTATTTACGTTAGCTTCGAAATACATATACTCTACGGAGATACAAGCCTACAAATTTCATATAAAGCAGCATAGTTTAACGTCGTTACGGTACCAATTTGCAACTTCATTGGGAACCCCTACTTCCGGTAACTGGACGTGATAAAAAAAAAGTAGGAACATCAAGTATGTTAGTACCTACGTTTTTAGTACATTTCGCACGTAAAAAAGTATGACCTATTCGGTATGCAATGAATACATTACCTATTGGTATGAGAATATAACCTATTTGACATGCAACGAATATAGGAAAATTATCACGGAAACGGACCATTTTCAATTAGATATTTGACAATGAGAACGATGAAGACAAACAGAACATTCTGTCTTTATGTTGCACAACCACCTGCTGATGAGTCAAATATTGAACGACTGAAGATAGGTCCAAGTTCAATGGAACCCAGTTGCCTGAGTTCGTTAGTCCCAAGAGAATTCCAGCGAACAGCAAGTCAAAATCGGTTTGTCCCTTTTAAAAACAAATGTATCGTTTTCTTTGTTTCTAAAATATCTAAACTGATTCAATACTTTTCAGTTGAATAAATTACACGAGCATTTAATTACTTCCGAATTACACGTTTCCTATACTGCATGTCGTACACGCTGCACTTTTGAAATCGAAAATATTCAATGCATTCAACATACAAGGTGTTAATAATATTGTGGAACACTTTCATATGATGGAATTCTACATGTAAACTTAAGACGAGAATCAACCATGACGAAATTGCGTTAAGGACTTCGTTTCCGAGTTATTAATTATTGAAAATATCGGTGAAATCAATTAAAATACGTCTGATACGGTAGGTTATTCCATTTGTGGGACACGCTTTTCAATTCTTTCACGTGCTCGTTTAATTCATTTAATTTCATTTCATTCATTAAATTTAACTAAGTCATCGATCGATTCTGTACATCAGTTGGTAATCGACTGTCGTAAGTAGTATAACCCGTCGTGTCAGACATACTTTACGTATATTTCACCCGTATTTTCAACAATCAATAACTCTGAAACAACGCGATGAACGCAATTTCTTAATTCTTAATGCTCGCCTGAATTTCTTACATAAAATCCACCCTGCGAAAATGTGCCACATTTTCATTATAACCTTATGTAATAATTTATTTTGCACGCTACGTGTCGTCAGCGTGTAGAAACATCAACGCAACCGACCGCGTTGGTAATAAAAAACACGGAAAAATAAGAAAACACAACTCATTGCTTCACTGCGTAACGACCATGCAATATAGTTTACAGCTTGTCATTTGTGTAACTTGTCGGATGTATCGTAAAAAAGACAACGTGAGTCTGCGTATTAATTACGTATGCGCAGAGAGCATGAAGAACGCAGTGTGGAAAACATATATTTTAAGCATCGCTGTTTGACTCACCGGCACGTACTTACGACGAGTGACATCTTACTCTAACTTTATCATCGATTGGAACTGTGGAAAGAACACAGACAACTACACCTATCTGTAACTCTTCTTTCGTTAGAACGTCGATGTCACTCAAAAATTTATAGTCGCGATAAAGGTGCGTTCCTGTATGTTTCTATTGTTATTTGGTATAATTCAGGTGATAACGTGGAATCTGACGACGTTTAATAGAAGTTATTGGTTCGAGCTGAAGTAACATAACTTTTGTCAGGGGAGACTGGGGTAAAGAAAGGAAAGGAAAACTGTTATTCGAAATAAACAAAATTGATTATTTTCAACATTTTTCAAGTAACATTTTATCCATTTTCAATTGCATGTAGTTACTGTTGCATTAATGATACAATTTCGGATTTATTCAAGTTGAAACAAGCACTTATTAAACATTTTGTGACCAATGTGTCGTATGTTGTCCAATTTGAACCTTTAAATAATTTTTTTTTAATTTTTTGACGTCGCGGGGTATTGACGAACAAATTGGAGGGGGCTACTGAAGACCGGATCATGTGTTACAAATGTAACTTATGGGCAAATGAAAAATGCAGCAGTGGTAAAATCACATCCAGAGTTTTCCTGTGCAGCTTATGTGATTAGTTTTTTTTAGCACTTTGCCCATGATAACCCCAAACGAAGGGTTTCGTTTTTCTCTAAGAAATTGATTTTTATTATAATTTTTCCAAAATTGGATATTGTAGTTTGTAGATGAATAGTTTAAGTATGATTATAAGTAATACTCAACTTCGTTTCTCACTGAGCCTTCCTTTTGTTTTTCTGTTTACGTTTTCGTAATTACCACACTCTCCCCTACTCCTAAATTCGCCTTCAGACTCGAACCATACGAGCGTTTTGCACGATGCGCGTGAAATATCCGAACGAATTTCAATGCTATTCAATTGAATCGACCGCACAAGTGTTTTCCACGCTACGCGACGCGTGTTGCGTTTTTTTAAATTCAATGCGTTCGGTGTACAACGAGATCAACTACACGCAAGCATTGTTTATATATATGTCGTTGGAAAAATATGAAAACGCAACTCATTACTCACTACCTTTTGATTACACAATATCATTTACAACAACGTTCGTGTCGTACGTTGCGTATCAATGTTGGTTCGCACGGACTAATTAATACATGAATACTACATAGGCATAGAAATATAGACTGCGCATCTCCCTGAAACAGGCGTCTCAAGGTTAGAAAGAGGTAGATAAATTTCGGAGGAGTTGGCATCTCTTTTTAAATCTAAGGTTCTGAATGGTCGACTCAGCTATATTATACAAAGATAGCAAGTCCTTATAAGTACATAACGGAAAACGCTGAGCGCAAACGAATATGAATAAAAGCGAGTGAATATAAAAGGACATGACGAATACGGAAGATCCTTCTTTGAATTGGTAGCAACTGATGGATCATCTTCCACTGTCACTTCTTAACCCTCTGATGCCCTAAATTAATTATTATACTCAAAACACATTCCATCCATATATATACTATTTATTATTGACCAGCTGAACACACAAAACTAAGGCCGACCGACGTTTTCGTAAAAAGAAAAAGTTGTTCGTAATGTTGATTTCTACAACACATTCAACAATCATTGAAATCGGTGAAGAAACAGTTCTTCGACAAGCTCACCCAAGTGTATTATCATCAAGACCATTCAAGAGAAGATCACACTGATCTTCATTTCTTAAAATACCTTGATCAAGCTTACAGGACCGAAATCTCAAGAATCTGACCACTTCCTACGTCAATCTTCGGCATTCATCCACGATGGGAGGCCACATTACCAACGCATACTCCAGATTGGAAGTTGTGAATTCTCCAAGGGTTTGAACAGAGTCTCGCCGGTACGTGAACAAAAAAAAAAGCAGAACGGTGTCCAGTCCCCCGGGGGGATCTCGTCCGTGCGAATGAAATTAGAGAAAATTGTATTTACGACCTTTACACACCAGGGAGAGAAGGGGGGAGAGACAGGAACCGATCGATTGGCGGAACACCAGGAATTGCGACCGACAAGATACGAGGAGAAGTTTGGACGGTGGTGGCGCGCGTAGAAACACCCTTTCCCTCCACCCCTCTGGTTGTATACGCGACGTCGATTCGACCTGGGGAAAAGTGTAGAAAGCTCTCGCGAATGGTGCAGCCGGATGGGGAATTACGGAATCGCGTACAACAAGAATATAAGAGGAATCGCGTGGTTCGGCCGCAAAGCTGGGAATAGCGCGGGATTGCGGACGCGAAAGTTCGTTGGTCGTAAAACGAGCTTAGGGCCCACCCCGCCCATCGACGGAGCTTTCTCTCGACGTTAGAAACCAGTTCGAATGTATCGGTGGGTGAAACTGGAGGAAGGGAGAATGATAGTGCACACGGTACAGTACGAGGGAAAGGGATGGGGTACACATCGAACCCGCAGGATAGTTTTGTCCGCGTGATTTTCGATTTCGTCTTCGACTCGATGGATCTTAGGAAGATTTAACACTAGAGCTACCAAAGCCGTCAAAATGACGAATTGCAGGTTTCTTAGGTTATAATTACTGAAGTTATTGAATTCTGATTGTATTATATATTATGTATCTTATTAAATTTTGCAAGTTTATTTGGTATACATTCACTGCTGTTCTAGTGGTAATGGAAAGTATTAATGTGGGAGAAATTTTGTTTAACACGTTAACATGTTGTTGCCGCGTGGGCCATCAGTGACCCACGCTGAATTTTCCATTTGGGCTGTTGTGGTTATTTCGTGTGAAACGAAACATGATCATGAAGTATCATACTTCATAATATCATCAGCTGATACATAATTATCATGTAAAGTCTCCATGAAAGCGACGAACTCGGGTCCGCTTCGGAGCATTCATGGCAAGGCGGAAAGGTTTTTAGACCCTCATAAATTTGTTTTCTTTCCCGAAGCCGAGCCTGGATTCTGTTTACTCTGTTTTGATTGGTTACAGAGCCCCCCCCCCCTCAGTGGCAAGAATAATGCTGTTGCTCGTGTCGCATTCATCGAGAAGTCACTGTATAATGCAATTATCATATCGTGGGTTATCGATGAAATACGTAAATCATCGATGACCTCCTCGGCACTAACAAGCAGAGCTCCCCAAGTGTAGCACAGACTTTTTAATAAGGTTTATCACTACAATAGAGTTTGGTATTCCGAAGCCAATGATATTTGTTTCAACAGCTTAAATGACCACTGGTTTATGAAATATTTAATGTTCATTGTCGAGGAGCCTTCGAACACTTATCAAGGATCTATTGTATACAACATTAAAGAAGCAAGGTAGCAACAGTAACCCGACGGTAATATTAAAATATTACCAAGTAAAACAGTTCGAAACGAGGACCACTCGAAAGGATCTGCGAACCCAGTGCCGTCTTTTCCTCTCCGCGACGAAGTTATCCCTTGTCCAGGTCTAGGTTAGAGGAATTGCAAAATACACCAAGCGTTCCATCTCACGGGCGATCCTCGAGGCACCGGGAATCGAGAACATCGGTTCCCGGTGCCAGGTTGACCCGGGCATAAATATTCATTCCACGCCGGAGATAAATATTCCTACGGTGTCACCGAGTGGGCCGCCGCCCGAGAGTTCTCTCTCTCTGCAATCAACGGGACCTGTATTTCTCACGCGGACCGTGTAACGCGGCGGCCGGTTACATCCTGTTTTCGCTCTTAATTCGCCGACGGTGAACACCAACCCTCGTTGGTTCGCCACTAACGCGACTTCTTGCGCGCAACGACCGAGTGTTATTGGGTTGCCCGAGGAGAGGAAACGAGGGCGGGAATGGTCCTCCGTGCACACCTTTTCGCAGACGGTTGACCAAACTGCGTCAACGTGGTTATCCGCTAATCGACAAGAGAACGGCGATGCTAGGAGCGTGGTTAAAAGTCCGTCGACGGTGTTGGGTCAGTTCTGACTAGTATTCTGACTTGGCTGAGACTATGGTTATAGTGGATACGCTTTCTCACGAAGTAATGTTCCGACGAATAAGTCCGTGATAAACTTGCGCACGTTTAACCGATGAATATTTTAGATTTATTCTCCAGGAAACGCATCTGTTGTAGCCGTGGACTCATACGTTGTAATATATAGGGTGTCCCGAAAAGATGGGACAATCAGCAACATGGATATTCCTTGTGCAAATAGAAATTAAAAAGTCCTTTACCGTTTTGTAGGCTGAATATTAGCAGTTAAACGACCTCACAGGTACACACCGCTCAGCTGATCGTTAACTACTAAGGTGAGTTCATTTAACTGCTAATATATCGAAAATGGAGCTTGTTATTACAAAACGGTAAAGGACTTTTCGATTTGTATTTGCATGAGGAATATCCATGTTGCGGATTGTCTCGTCTTTTTGGGACACCCTGTATATTGTTGGCCCCTTGAGAGGGTGTCTGGTCCGATAATTTCGAATAATTCCTATAGCGTGATGTGTCCCTTTAGTGAGATTGCGATGTTACAATTCAGATGGTTAACATTAAGCGGGTCCCATATTGTGTATTCGATTGTGTGTTCGAAGATTAGTTGCATCGAGGAGGATTATAGCGGATGAGTTGAGAAAGGTTCTTACCAAGCTTGGCTTTCATATCCGACTTATCGGACGCCTTCCTTCCAGGCTTGCGTCCCCTCTTACCCCCCTCTTTCCGATCGCCGCGAGATCCCTCCTGGAATGAAAAAGATAATTGTAATTTAATCCACGATCTCGTCTACTCGTAAAACTTAATATAATATTGATAATTAAACATGCCCAGAGACTTTACGATTTATCAATCGAGTTCTAATGAAGACTTAGCAATATGTAGGAGAGCCTGGTACTGCTGTGAAATTAGCCAAAATCCTAAAATATTAACATTTTTCTTCGAACTAATTCACAGCTGTCCAAAAGCAATTTATAATCCGAATTCCACGCACATTCGCATACGATATAGCAGATCACCTAGTTTCAGGCTTAACCAGACTTCGTACTACTTCTATCGGACGAGGAACGTCTGACCGTGAAAGTAGAAACAGCTATTCAAGACAGACAACACATCCGACGACGTTTCCTGTCACAATTCACTACGCACACATTGACGCAATCGATGTTCCCCGTGAAACAAAGCATTCACATAGAAAATTACGTTCCATCCAACAGGATTAACACTACAGGTGCAATTTTGAACGACTCTTGAGCCTAAGCAAGGCCGAGTCAGCACGTTCGGATGTTCCATCCAACAACGTCAACAGTGCAGGTGTGATTTTGTACGACCCTTGAACCGAAACAAGGCCGAGTCTGCACATAACAAACGCTATCGCCGTTCCACAGTCCGAATTAACAAGTACCAAACCGCGGGCGCAGCGTACCAACTCTCGCCTGGGCTCCCATAACGCATTAACGCAGCAAGTGTGAGCGTAGTGTCGACACGCGGCGAACATTACGTTTCCCCCGGTCCCGTTACGGTGAACTTCACGAAAGAACATCAGGGTCATCCGTTACAGAACAGAGAGAGAAAAAGGGACCGTCCATCGGAGGGGATGACGCAGAGGAACGATTTCCCCAGCCCTACAAGAGGAATAACACCGATGTTGTACCGTGTCGAGCATACGCGTGGGCGTGGTCACGACCAGTGTGAGTCCACACGACCCGTTAAAATTTACACGTCCCCGGAGCACGGTTGTTCCGACGGAGCAGAGAGGCGAACGACGACGACGACGGCGGCGCCGTCCGCAGGCTTAGCTATGCATGTGCTGCTCACGGGTGACAAAATACAAATTCAGCCCCCCTTTTAGGGAAGGCTGTTTACCTTCGGCCCTATCCTTTCCTCTCAATCCTATCTGGTATTAAATCTCCTCGAATCCTCTTTCTTTCCCTCGACCGCTTCCGACTTCTTTGCCCGCCTTCAACCCTCTCTCTCTCTGCTACCTCCGTCTTGCTTCCCCTGTCTCCAGCTTTTGTCCTTCTCCCTTTCCCCCTTCACAGCTCTTTGTGGATAGAAAATGGAATTGATGTTCCGCGATGAATAGCGAAGATATAGGAACGGGGATGAGGAAAGACCGAGCGTGAAACCTGGTCGTAAGGATTCCTCCGTCTGTGTGTACGCAAGTCGGCTATCGCGAAGCACCCAGGGCAATCGTCTTAAAGCCGAGAATATAATTAACTTGCGAGCAGGTGATGTCGACGAAGACTCGAGGGAACGTGGTATTTAAATAGGAAATATTGGATTAAATCCCTGTTGCGATATTTCTGCGCAATCAGGGTCACGGAACACATACGCGTACCTATTCCTGCCGCTGGAGGTCTGGGAAACCACATTTGGACATTTACCGACGTGGAAACTTTTGTCGATTTTGCTGGTCGACCCGTATCGTGAACGACGAGAGGCGCACTCTTCTGTACCTGACAATTGTGATCGACGAGGGGAGTTGTACTGTTGGTTGGAGAGATCCCCTTTGCGTCATCGATTGCAAACTGTTCGCCCAGGGTGAAGTTACACGAGGGTAACAGAAGCTTCTCGGGGATTTCAAGCATGCTGCTACGGAAAATTTTAATGTGTTCTAGGTCCAGCTTGACTAGACTATTGGAACAAACATTAACTTGGTTTGGAACGATGCTACATGTATGCTGGCGTCGACGTGTTCTGAGTGAAGTCGAAGGCGATTGGCCCGTCGCTGATTGACCCTTGGAGAATTTGTGATAAGGTTTTGGAATGCTTGCGATAGAACTTTGTTCTAGACCTGTTATAGAAGATACCTACCGTCGGTTTAGAAACTCAAAACCCATTAAAAAAAAGTTAGAAAAGCAGGAAAAACGGGAAATCACCGTGGCTACAGTTCCACCGTTAGCGTACGGGCTAAATAACTGAATGATCCGAAAATCGTGAGTTCAAGTCCCAGTTATCCAAGGCTCATTTCTCCTAGATTCCTACAATACCCACTTTCTGCGTTCTAATTTCCAGAATAAGTATCACTACCACATTCTATTAACTAGAACCTCATAGCAACACCCCTTTTGCGCAAACATCTACCATTCGCCACTCTAACCCCATACTCCTTTACGCATCCTAACCTCCGCCATAGAAGCTACACGGGACATCAAATATTGGCCCATAACAAAAGAAAATTAAACACGCCCACGTCCAGAACAGTGGACGCAGCAGGGACAAACGAAAGCCGGAAATCTCCCTGAATCTCTATTCAGTGGCTGAATGTAGCCCGATGCCACTTGACGGGGTATACCTATATTAGAATACCCGGGGACAGATAGGACAATGGTTCTCTCTACGATCCCAGGGTGTATAGGATTCGAGTCCTTAGGTCCGGCAACGCCCGATTCATCCTCCAACGGCGAGATAACCGAGGCGATGCGAAGAGGCCGCGGGAGAAATTCCATCGACACGGCGCGCAGCCGGATGCTCGGTGGGACGGCACCGCGCCGGGGACCGGAAACTCGTAAACCACACTGTACACAATCGAGCGCGGCTGCTTTGTAGTTTCCCAGTTCGCCAGACGATTCCCTCTTACGCTGTCCGCGTATTTCTCGAGCACCAAAGGCCGGGATACGCGCGCACGCGGCTTCGCTTCTCGTCGCCGAGGTTCTCTCTTTCGCCCAGGCGTGTGAACCGTGATTTAATCTAACGGCGTTCAACGCACGACTCGTCACGCCACAGCAGTTCATAGCACCTATGAGGGCTCGGTTAATAACGAACGAACGACGCCCCGCTGAACGTTCGCGTCAAAGGCGATCTTCATTTGATAGAACGCGTTATAAATCGTCGATTCGATGCGACTAAGTAGATCGAACGTGAAACCTGATGTGAACAGAGAGATCTTATTCCGTTGTTCTCCACACGGGTCTGTCCAGAACAGTTTCCGAACTGGGATTAATGTAAAAGTTGTAGGTGAAATGATAAAATGAATATTGAAATTAGATTTCTTTTGAAGAGATATACTGTTCCTAATGATTATAGGAACGATGGAAATGGCTGAGATAATTCTTCTTTGAGATGGTTACGCAACATTATTGTCTCAAATGGTATCTCATTGCTTGATTATCCACCGTGTTAGTTTGATTGGGCTACGTTAAACTAGTTACTATTACCCAAATTGGAAACGAAGACACAGAAACGACGATTTAACATTACTTTTACGTTCATTGGACTTCGATTATTACTTTCTCCGCCATCTTGAAGAAGAATTTCCAGAACTGATTCCAGTGTTTGTATAATTATTATGTGGAATATATCACTTCGGGAGGAATCTACTTTCAACGATTGCTGATAAAAACCGTGAAGATCATAGGGAAACTGTTGTTTTAACTTTGGAGGCAAACCGTGTATTTATTCATGTGAAATTTTCCACTTTTATGGTGTATGAACAGTTCGGTGACAACGGTTAAATTTCATTCCACGACTTAATATTATTATTTTCTTGTATCCTCTTTCCGTCTGATTTTAAAAATTTGTATCACTTATGCTCTGATAATGTGCTAAATTAAAGTAATTCATTTTGGTAGTTAAACTGTAATTCACATCAAATCCTACTGTAACGTATTCTAATATACGTTTTCTTCAGTACTCACTTTGCAAAGTACAAGTAGAGTTCGATGTGCACCACAATTTAACTACCAGAATGAATTACTTTAATTCACCAAATCATCAGCGCATAAGTAACACAGAGCTCTAAAACCAGGCGTCCCGTAATCCCGTACACGCAGTGTGTTAAAACTCGCGATGAAACAGAGCAGAAAGGCGCAAAAACGGTGAAGGCTGGCCGAGTCGAAATAGCCGAAAGAGAGCTGGACAGTGAGAAAGAGGGAGAGATAGCAAGAAAAACGAAAGAAACGAGAAGATTTTCGCGTAACCGAGGGAAATCAGAAGGTGGAAGGTGGCTAACGCGTTTAAGAGACTCCTTCTAGCTTCGGAACTCCGAGCGTAATTCCGTTAATAATGAAAATTAATTGAACGACAGTTTCTTTCCCGTGAAATTTGAGAGAGTGGTCCAAGAGCTGAACAAGCGTGCCGTGGGGCCAACGACGGGGGCCGAGTACCAAAAACGGTTCCATACCTTTGTAATTAAAGGTTTTCCACTCGAAAAGGTGATCGTCCGAAACTTGTTCCCTCGCGAAGTAGAACGAATGGAATACGCGTTAGCGAGTGTTTCCGTGGGTGGGTGGATTCCAGGTAACCGTACCAAGTCCCATAAAAGATGTTTCAACTCTCGAACTACCTTGTTGTAGAGCAGGACTCCGTTCGAACGTCGGTTTGAGCACTGGTAATGTTATCGAATTGAACGGGAAGAAGGGAATCAGAGTCTGGCGAGGTGAATTGAATCGAACGAAATAACGAGAGACACAGTGTGCAAACACCTCATTAGCGAACGGAAATCTTCCCTCCCTGACTCGTAATTTTTTCTGCAAACACAGCTTGAACGACGACCATCTGCAAATTGGAAGGTACTAAAGATCAAAATTGATGTTCGGGGCGTATTTCTTTCTATTTTCCTTTTTTTCTTTTTCGGCTCGACGAGTGTCGGAAATGTAAATTCCTCGAAGCGTAGGCGGACGTTCTCGAAACAGCGAGAGAGTGCACACCGCGATTACCGGATCCAACGAGCGTGCAACCTTATTATTACCTCCGTTCCACGGAGGTTGCGCGATGCTCTCCGGGCTCTTTCAACGGTGACCTAC